TTATTTGTGCATACAGAACTGGGGTACAGGCCAGAGACTCAGGGGTGGCGAAAGACTTCACCAGAGACAGAGTGGGGAGCGGAACAGGCAGATCGACGAAGTACACTGCTGAGGGGAGCAGTGGGCGGGTCAGGAGAGGTCTCCAGCGCCATGTGGATCTCCTCCGGGGCAGGCGGGAATCGAACTCATGCCGAAGTGATTTCAGCTTCTTAGAGTTATGCTTTAACCCGCTGCGCCACCAGGGAGGGCCAAGTAGCTTGGATTTTTAGTGGGAAAAGGCACATTTTGCTGAGGATGAACCTCACATTTCTCTGGCTTTCACAGTACCAAACGACTGGTGGCCTTAGTGCCCATGCCCAGCGACCCTCCGTTCAACACCAGAAGAGCCTACACGAGCGAGGATGAAGCCTGGAAGTCGTATTTGGAGAATCCCCTCACGGCCGCCACCAAGGCCATGATGAGCATTAATGGTGACGAGGACAGTGCTGCCGCCCTGGGCCTGCTGTATGACTACTACAAGGTGGGTCTCTTCGCAACCGGCTCCAGCCTCCAGGGCCTCATCACTGCTGGCGGAGGGAGAGAAGGAACAGAACTGCTTTGTAATTCAGCCTCTTAGGTCATCCTAGCCTCCCGCCTTCGTAGCTGTGAAGTAGAACTACACCCACCAGGGCAAGCCTGCACTTTGGGAAACTACGTTCCTTGTGTCCTCTCTTCACATCCAAATCACCTATGTAGATTTCCATTTCATATCAGATTGCAAAGAGGCCCTGGCTGCCATTTTTACTTTATGACTTGCTTTTCTGTGACTGAAGACTATCACATTGTGTGATGATACCAGTCATTGCTCAGTCATTGTTGAACATTTAGGTAGTTTTTAGAGTTTTCACTTATAAGAAACACTCAGGGTTTTCAAATGCACCATGCCTCAGTTACATAAAGTATGCTATTGTGGAAGACTTTTGCAGCAATTTGAAAACCAGATTTTGTTACATACCTGTCTGTATTTGATTCAGTGGGTAATACATACCTATTCTGGGGGGAAAAAAACACTGAAAGAGTGTAAGTCACATACATTACAAAAATACCTGCCACAGCACTTTCGAAACTGGAGTATAGCAGGAAATCAAACGAGAACAATGATTTGCCTCGTCTCTAAGAACTGTATTAGATATGACCTGATCCCTAAGAACCAGTGACATGTAAAGAAATCCCATATTTACTGAATGGGATTTATTCTTGTCTGCCTTGATTATACACTTTTGATTTATGTTGGGAATTGGCACAAAATGCGAATGGCTGTTTATCTTTTGGGTTGGGCATAGTGAGTCCTTTCATTTAGAATAAACCCTTAAAAAAAAAAAAAGAATAAACCCTTTTTTCCTCTCCCCATACTATAAGGAAATCACCCACGACAACCAGTTTCCTTTTGGTGCTTTAGTTTTGGGCTTCCTGTTTCCTTCCTGCTTCCCATTTCCTTCTGACTTTTTGTAAATCTTGTCTTTCACCTCTCTCCTAAACCAGACTTTCCAAAGCTCTCCTTTGTACCACCATCTTCGGCACTGTCCAGTGCTTATGCTAAATCCTCTAAAATTACCCTATTCTCATTTCTTTCCAATTCCCCCATTAAAATGCTCAGGAGAGCGCCTTTTTTAGGGAAATGAATGAAAGCTGAGCCTTGTTGGCCTGATCTAAGGTGAAAAAAAAGAAGTATGTGGAACTGCAGGTCTGTTCATCCAGAGTGTTTTAAATGAGGTTTCTATTAGTTGAAATAAATATATTTTGTATTGCTAGAAAATACTGGTGATACATGTGCAGGGCATTCCTTGAGTACCAGTGCTGGTCTAAGCTTTCATCCTTACTAAGAACAATGGAGTCGGTGGACTTTGACAGTCCTCTTATGAAGAAGGTGTAACACTGCCCTACAGCTCCTCACATAGCAAGAGGATCTTGAACTTTGGAGGTTTTGGGTCCCAATGAAAGGCTATTTTAGGGCCCAACCTACATTTCATGTAAATAGGGCAATTTCTTAGGGTGAAAAATTCATGCCTGAATAAAGTAAATCTGAAGAAACAAAGATAGTTTCAGGGTAAGCTTTCCTTTCTTCTTTTCACTGTAGTTGTTTTATGTTTGTAATCCTTTTTGACTAAGGAGCTCATTTGAAAAATGAAAAGATGAATTCTAAATGTTTTGGAGTGAAATATTTCAAAGTTAATTGAGGATGATCCAGAGGCATAGAACTTATCAGATTAAAGTGCTTTGAGTAGTAAGCCATTTCTTCTTCATTTTTTAAGATTCATTTTTATTTATGCATGTAAGAACTGAGGTCTAGGCCAGAGGTGCAAGGGGTGAGAGGATTCAGCAGAAAGAGTGGGGAGCAGTACGCAGATCACGTGAAATACACTGCTGAGGGGAACAGTGGGTGAGACAGGAGAGGACTGCTGTGCCATGTGGGTCACTTCCCTGGCCTGGGATCAAACTCATGCTGCAATGGCTGTGGATAGCTTCATAGTGCTGTGCTTTTAACTGATGTGCCATGAGGGAGGGCCCTCCTTTGATATATTTTTAGTGTTTAAAGGCAAGTTGATGGATACATTGCTTTCTCTACATTTTGAGATGAGACCTTGAGAGTTTACATAAAACTAGGGTTGTTGCAAAGTTTATAACTTTGTTGCATAAATATTTTCTGTGATTAATTTATTCAATTAGGGTCCCTCCCTTGTAGCACAGCGGGTTAAAGAACAGCTCTATGAAACTAGCTGCAGCCACTTCAGCATGAGTTCTATCCCATATGGCGGATTTCTCCTTATCCACCTGCTGCTCCCCTCAGCAGTGTACTTCATCGATCTGCCTGTTCTCTACTCTGTCTCTGGTGAATCCTCACTTCCATCCCATTCCACACCTCTGCACCTCTGACCTAGACCTGAGAACTGAGGTTCCCTGCTGTCCCTGGCATAGCAGAGGCATGGCTTGGTAGAATACTTAAGATATTTTCAGTCTTTCACCTGGATTTTAATAAATCTATAAAAAGAAGGTTAAGTCATCTTTGAGGATAAACCTATTTGTAGTAAAATAAAATGATAATGAGAAGAGGAATTACCTCCTTTTTTTTTTTAAAGATAAACTTTGGAATGTTAAATTACTTAGCAGTTGTTGCCATATTATCAGTTCAGTTCTGTGGATATTTTATACCTCTTTAGAAATGTGGATTGATTCCTTATGTGAAATATAACATTTTCCTCATGCCCAAGGGTCTGGCACACGGCCCCTGAGGGACAGCAGATGCTCTGAAGAGAGAAGCATGCATGTGGCACACAGCAGGCACTCCCTAAGTGACCACTGCTGTCCCTGGCATAGCAGAGGCATGGCTTGGTAGAATACTTAAGATATTTTCAGTCTTTCACCTGGATTTTAAAATTTTAAATTTTTTTAGTATTTTTTAAAACTATGTATTTATCTATGCATACAGAACTAGAGTGCAGGCCAGAGGTGCAGGGGCAGTGAGAGGATTCCCCAGAGACAGAGTGGGGAGCAGAACAGGCAGACTTACGAAGCGCACTGCTGAGGGGAGCAGTGGGTAGGTGAGGAGAGGTCTGCCACGCCATGTGGTCACCTCCGGGGTGGGGGATCAAACAGTGGCTGCGGCCAGCTTGCAGTGCTGCGTCCTAACCCGTGCACCACCAGGGAGGGCCCTCACGTGGATTTTAAAACTGTCACCACAGGGTCATTGCAGTGAAACCCCTCTGATTTTCATATTTTAAAATGCAGGCACCCAAGTAGAAATTACTCACAGTCACAGGACAGCTCTGTATATTTCCTGACACCCATTTCATGAAACCATCTGTTTTAATCTACCCAGACTGCAATAACAGAATAGTGCAGACTGGAGGCTTAACCAACAACTTTATTTTCTCATAGTTCTGGAGACTGAAGTCCAAGATCAGGATGCTTGTAGGACTGGTTTCTTGCGAGATCTTTGGTTTGCAGACAGAAAACCCCTCTCACTGTGCCCTCAGATGCTCTCTGCACTGTGTGTGCTCCGAATGTCTCTCCTCTTCTTGCAAGGACATTACTACTCTACGGGTTAGGGAGGAGTGGGTTAGGGACCCACTCGAATGACATTGTTTAGTCCAACTGTCTCCTTAAAGACTACCTTTAAAAACAATCACACTGGGGGTTAGCTTTGGTGGAGGCTGACACAATTGGGTTCATAAAACTACCATTTAAAATGTCTTTATAAATCCATTTAAAACAGGTCATTTTAAGAACAAATATTGAAAGCTAGTTAGATGGCATTTATTAAAAAATTACTGAACTGGCCCTCCCTGGTGGCGCAGCGGGTTAAAGCACAGCACTGAGAAGCTAAAGCCACTTCTGTATGAGTTCGATCCCTGCCTGCCCCGGAGGTGACCCACACAGAGTGGCAGACCTCCCCTGACCCGCCTGCTGCTCCCCTCAGCAGTGTGCTTCGTCGATCTGCCTGTTCTGCTCCCTACTCTGTCTCTGGTGAATCCTCTCACCCTCCGCATCTCTGGCCTGTACCCCAGTTCTGTATGAATAAATAAATAATTTTTAAAAATCACTGAACTGCTAGGATCTCATAATTCAGGAGCCATCGCCCACTTTTCTATCCAATTCAAACAAATACTGACCAGTAGCAGCTCCTCAGTGTAAGTCCTGCGTAAGGATAGTGCACCGGGAGCAGTGAGAAGCACCAGAGAAAGTGGAACTTTCCAGGGGAGTACTACCCACTCCACCTAGAAACAGAGGAGTGAATAGACAAGGATAGACAAAAGAGAGAATTTCAGGCAAAAGGAACATTAGATGAAAATATGGGGAATCAAACTACCTATGGAGAATCCAAGTTACACTCAGTGGAATCCAAGTAGTCAACCTTCCTGGAGCACAGGGGTGAGAGATCTGGATGGGCAGTCAGGATTGGTCCAGAAGACAAGGCTGCCACTGGAGGAGGTCAGGCTGGTGGACTGGGCATTACCCTCCCTAAAGGCATCCAGGCTTCTATTTTTCTGGATGAATGAGTGAATAAGGAAATGATTTAATAAATATTCATAAATTGCTGAATTAAAGAAATGAACTCATTTTCAGCTAATACATTTAGTGAATACATTTAGAAAATGCAGGAAAACGTAAAGAAGAAAATAAAAGTCCTATAATCCTTCTCTCATGACTATTTAGGTAGGACTTGACATGTGCTCAAGAGAGACTGGAGAAGCCCATGGATGTGGGGTTGGGAAAGGGCGGTGTGTTTCAGACGGAGAACTTTGTGTGATGACTCTGCTGTGAAGAGTGTTGCTTCGTCAGAGAGGGCGTGACTATAGGCTTGGCAGTAATAGTGGCCTCCTGCATTGAAGCAGGAGACATTTTGGAGGCCATGTTCTGAGAGCAATGGGGAGTAGTGATGAATTTTAAATAAGAAAACAATGCGATCAGACTTGTATTTTAAAGATTATTCTGGACCTTCTCAAAGGATTCAGAATGCATATTCAGGGACTAAGTGGAGAAGAGACCCGGTGAAACACTGATGTGGCAAATAAGGCAAAAAAGATGTCAGAAGTTGAGCTAGGAGGTGGCATCAAGGGGGAAATGGGCGGATTTGAGAGACACTTAGGAATTCATGCCTGCCTAGTTGGAAGGAGACCGGGAAGAATGCTCGCTAGTCAAGGAGAATGTTGTTGTGCCATAGTGTGTGGTTTTAGGAAGGACCCTTAGAGCTGTCCATGGTTCAGGGTCCTTCCTTCCCAAGCTTCTGCTCATCACTGAAGCCATCTATCTGCCTCACTCACTCCTTGCACTGGCCATGGCTGTCTTTATCCTGTCACACCTCAACGCTTCTTACAAGCTATGCTTTGGAATGGTTAAGTCTTCCCTATCCTCTTGATAAATTCCTACCTAGAGCTCAGTTGCTTTGGGGAGCTTCATCCCTAGCTTTCCAGACCACTGTAAACATAGCCCATTTTTACTGCCCATCATTGGGTATTGGTTTCTTTTTAAAGCACCATTAGGAACAATTGCATTTGAAAGGAGAACTAAGTGCTTTCTGGTGAGGTGAGCAGCCGCATAATACCTTAGCAGAAGAACTATAGAGGAGGCTCTGTTCCTTAAATACCGACTTCCTCCTTACAGCTTTTCTTTTCTTTAAATTTATTTATTTATGCATACAGAGCTGGGATACAAGCCCGAGGTGCAGGGGGCTGTGAGAGGATTCACCAGAGACAGAGTGGGGAGCAGAACAGGCCACCTGACAAAGAAGTACACTGCCGAGGGGGCAGTGGGCAGGTCAGGAGAGGTCTGCTGCTCTGTGTGGGTCACCTGCTGGGCCAGGGATGGAACCACACTGAAGTGGCTGTGGCTGCTTGCAGTGCTGCATCCTTACTGATCGGGCCATCTGGGAGGGCCCACAGCTTTTCATAACATGGAAAGTGCCATTTTCAATGCACAGTTCAGTGACATCAAAGATATTCACATTGCTGTATAACCACCATCACTATCCATCTCGAGAATTTTTCACTGCCTCACCAAGAAACTATACCTGGTAAACTCCCCACTCCTCCTCTAGTTTCTCACCTTTCTGCTCTCCACCTCTATGAATTTCACTGTTCTAGATACCTCCTATTAATGGAATCACAATATTTGTCTTTTTGTGTCTGATTTAGTTCATTTAGTGTAATGTCAAGATGCATCCATACTATAGCATGCATCAGAATTTCACTTTATAAGACTGCATAATCGTCCACTGTATGTATATCTATTCCATTATAGATGTAAATGTGGGTTGTTTCCACATTTTCTTTAATGAATGTTGCTATGAACATGGGGAGACTGAGTATTGCAATTTATATTTACCTGTCATCTTCAGCAGCTGATAGGAGCTGCCTTTGCTTCATCTCATTTTGTGTAGTATTTAGCGACACCTGCCTGGCACCTTGTAACCCTTTAGAGCTGGCTGGTGGTAGAACTGAGATTCCAACCCAGACAATCAGGTCAAGGTCTCAACTTTCACTTCCCTCGTCCAGCTTACTAGATTTGGATATATATTCAGGCAAATGGAAACCACGAGAATGCCAGAGCAATCTAGAAGGGTGATACTTCTAATAAATGCTATTCAAGTCAAAATAGTGCAGACTGTTTTCTGGGTGCAAAGGAATTTAGCGAGAAGAATGATCGAGAAAGCTAGTAAACACACAACGAAACCCAAAGAAACAAAATCATCCAACCAAACATACAAATCAAAGCTCACACGTATGTTTGAGAGCTGAGGGAGAGCCACGTGGAGGTGGCAGGGTGATTAGGTGCTCAGAAGTGTAGCTGGTAGGATGCCCCACCGGCCAAGAGACACTTCTTCATTAATCTTGTAGGTAAATGGTTGGCATTGGGTTGTGGAGATAACAGCATAAGTGTATTATAAGAAGTATTGTGGAAGCCAGTCTGTGGGCCTTGCGGTGAGGGCAGCTAGTGAGTGGTCCAGATGCTGCGCCCAACACTCTCCACTTTGCTCCCATCCATGTCAGCACCTCATCAGTGCCTGCTCCTTACAGGATGCTTGTTGTAACTCCGGAGTGTGGTCTGTCAGCTCAAGGGCACTCTCCACTCACTCCTTTCCTTTCAGCTACTCCCAAGATGGGGACGGCTGGGAAGCTGCTCCAGTGCAGGGAGCGCCACCTTGAGCAGGGTACAGCCGGGTCACGAGGGGGGTGGTCTTCATCACCCTTTGTGCTTGAGCCACTTACTGTCACTCAGACCACTCACCTTGAACCATCTCCTGGTCATAGCAAATTTGTCACCTTGCAAATGGTGCATTTTTATTTTATACCTATCTTCCATCATAGTTCATTTGGGGACAGTGTCTGCTTTCTCCTCTCTGGTGTCGTAAAATTCCCACCACCAATTCACCCATGCACCTTAGCCACAGCCTCTCGTGCTCTTCCGTCCCCTGTTTTGATCCTTCTCCTCCCCTCCCCTTGCAAGTGTTTCAGTTAGCTTTCTTGCTTACGGTGGTGTCTGGCTTTGTTTGGTGACAGCTGTATCTGTGTAAGTCTGACAGATGATTGGTGATGTTTCCAGGTTCCTCGAGACAAGAGGCTGCTGTCTGTAAGCAAAGCAAGTGACAGTCAAGAAGACCAGGACAAAAGGTATGGTGTGCTATCCAGGAAGACACGTGACTCCCCAAATGACCTTTTCTGTGGTTTGTGAAAACAACTATTTTAAACTATAATTTTTGTCCTCGAGAGGACAGGGTTTAAGAAGCTTAGCTTGCTTGTATCTCTCTTTTGGAGTCTGGACTAAGACCAAATTTCCCAGGAGGGAAAGGAATTGTATTTTTTGGTTGTGCATGCAAAGGGTCATCATGAGTTCCTGGTAGACTCCCTTCCGAGGAGACTGAAAACCCCAAGTTAGAGGTGAAATGCTGGCAAGGTACCCCGGAGCTGGGGGAAGCTGTTTCTGTGAATCCTACAGCTGGGCAATCAGGCCCTCTTGGACGAAAGACACCGCAGATCACTGTTGGTGAGCAAGAGGGAGGAGGCTGGCCTGACATGAACTCGACTATCAAGGTGCGGATTGGTTTTGGATATTTTGGCACAGTCGAGTAAGACTGTGCTTGCATAAAACCCAGAGGAGTGGAAAGTGGAGAATTTCTTTGGTGCTAGTCAGTGCAGACCAACCCTCCCACAACTCACCTGCACGACGTTATCCACGTGTGTTAATAGTTATTCCTCCACAGAACGGTCAAGGGTAAACTAGGTTTGGGAAACTCTGAGTTACAATTAAACAGGTGAAGGAATGCCAGGAGGCTGTGCTGTGTTCACCATGTCTGTGACCCACCCAGGGTGGTCTTGTGATGAAAATGTGTCTTTCTAAAAAAAAAAACAACAAACTGATTTTTATCATGGGCTCCTTTCTTTGAGGTGCAGCTATTAACATTCCATGTAATATGCCAAACAATAAAGTTTAGGATATGCTGATATTAATGGGTGGTCTGGGTTTTGGCATAACCAACTAACTGGATGCAGATTAAACATAATTTCTAATTTTTCACTTGTGTCTTATATACAGATTCACTGCATTGATTTGGCTTGGAAAGCAGTTGTTAAAGTCAGAATGTTTGTGTAGACTTGCAATTTTATTTCGTGAAGGATTATTTTGTAGGATGATTTCTATAAATCCATGACAGAGAGAAGCATAGATATTTTTCTGTTGGCTGTGTTTATGGGCAACGATTCTTTCCTCAAGCTTCACTTTGAAGTTTTATCTGAAAAATCAAAGCTGAATACCAACTGGCTTGAGAGTTAGGCAAGCTTAGAGACTAATGGGCTTCCTTTACAGAGAGGAGCTCAATTCTTGGAAGAATCAATTTTATTTGAAACATTTCTTTCCCTGAGAGATGCCTGTGAGCCCAGAAAAAACATGTTAGTGTTTAAAAAGCAGAAATTGGGAGCAGGGTTCCATGTATTTTCTCTCCTTGTCCTTTAGAGTAATCCATAAATCAGAGAAAGGGTGCCCCAAGTTTTACTATTCACCAAAACATTGCTAGTAAAATCATTTTGTTATCAACAATCTTTCATTAATGAGTATTTCTTTGCTTCTGTTCTTTCCCAGAACTCTTTAGAATAAATGAAAGTATTTCATCTTAACCTGGCAAGAATTAATTTTCTAAATCCTCTGCTTTCTCTTTGTACCACCCAGGAGGTCTGAGATCTGAGAGATCTTGTTTAACATAAGCTCAGTTACACCACTTCTTTAAGCCCCGAAAGCAATTCAATGCTGAGGATATCAATGAGCTCATAATATTTCTCAATTTAGTGAAACTATTTTAATGATAAACTCTCATTATCTCATTTTTCCTGAGGAAGGTTAGGCCATGGAACAGTAAAAATATCTTTCCCACTCCCTGCCTTCAAGTGATTATTCTGCTCTCTCTCTCCCTCGATTTTTAAATATTTATTTATTTATGCATACAGAACTGGGGTATAGGCCAGGGGTGCAGAGGCAGTGAGAGGATTCACCAGAGACAGAGTGGGGAGCAGAAAAGTCAGATTAACTGAAACACAGTGCTAAGGGAAGCAGCCGGAGGGTCAGGAGAGATCTGCCACACCATGTGGGTCACCTCAAGGGCCGGGGATTGAATTCATGCTGAAGTGGCTTTAGCTTCTTAGTGCTGTGCTTTAACCCACTGCACCACCAGGGAGAGTCTCTGCCTTCTCTTTTTAAAAAAACAGTTTAAGAACTTTTCCTTTTCAAATGTATTCTGAAGTTAATAGCAAAATATAATGAGTTCCATTAGATTCATACCCATTCCACCCTCTAGGTTGAGCAATAGCTTTTGTTATGTCCACTTAATACCACTTTCCCTCTTCTATTTTTATTGTGATAGTATTTAAAATAACTCCTTGACATCATGTCATTTCACCTCTATTTCTGATTTGTACCATCATAAAAGAAGGACAGTTTTATTCATAGTCTCAAGATCATTACCATCATAAAAGAAGGACAGTTTATTCATAGTCTCAAGATCATTACCATCATAAAAGAAGGACAGTTTATTCATAGTCTCAAGATCATTACCACACCTAACTTAACAATCCTTCCTTACTATCACTTAACTCCTTAGCCCATATTCAATTGCCTCAAAAATCCTATTTCCTCATAAATGCCACTTAGCTTTGTTCAGGTCAGGATCCAAACAGCATCCCTCTTATTAGACCGTTATGTCTTTTATATCTCTTTTAATTTAGACCAATCCTCCTAGCCGTCTCCCCCCCTCCCCCATGACTTATTGAAGAAACCAGGTAGCTAAGTTGTGCTATATCTGATTCAAAGTCACTTCATTGAAGTGTCATTGAAGTCACTTCTCCAGCTGCTGTATTGCCTGAAGTATAAAGATATGCTTAGACTTGGGGGTCAACTTTATTTTTTTGGTAACAATACTTCATAGGTGGGAGCGAATAGTAGGCACACTGTGTGCTTATCCCACTGCTAGTGACGCAAAGATCCATCACATTCCATCACCCTTTCCTAATGACGTCACAGTCACTGATTATTGCCCCCCATCGATTATTTGGATTAGGCATTGCAATATGCTGATTTTTCTAATTCTATCATCTTATGGGGCGGGTTTCCACTCACAGAAACTGTCTTGGCACAAGTGAAGCCCAGAGTAATTTGAGTGGAGGAGAAAATCGAGTACAGGTTTTAAAGACTGTTCCAGTGAACCTTTCCTTAAACCAAGACCACCTGGAGAATTCAAAACGGGACCAATACAACACGAATGTCCCGGAGAGCCCAGCAGTCGTCCCGTTGTCTGGGATCACCGTGGTGAAAGCGGAAGATTTCACTCCAGTGTTCATGGCCCCGCCAGTGCACTACCCCCGGGCGGATGGGGAGGAGCAACGTGTGGTCATCTTTGAACCCACGCAGTATGGGGTGCCCTCCATAGGCAGTCACGGCACCTACCTCAAGGATGACCAGCGCAGCACCCCTGACAGCACATACAGCGAGAGCTTCAAAGACGGCAACCCAGAGGTGAGTCTGGGGCGCTCAGCCACCTTCGAATCTAAAGCTAAAGCTAGAACTCCTCCTCCCTTGCTAATTTTTTTTCTGTTGCTTTTAAAGTGGGGTGAACGAATTAAATTGAATTTAGAACTTAAAATGTGTTTTTTTTCTTTATAAATATTTGTAAATCAACCATTGGTCTACATGTCTGAAGAGTTCTACTTTCTTACTTTTATTTTAGTTGGCAGTTGCCTTTGTATTTGTTTTATGTCTTAAAGTTAAATATTTATGAGTAGTGAAGATGTGTTAGTGAGGAAGCGTCCTATTTTGTAGCGTTTTCACCGTGACCTCTTCTAGTTTGGAACCTTCAAGTGGTAACTAAAGATGTTGTCTGTGCATTCTTTTAAAAAAACAGTATGATTCTTAAGACCTTGTTTGATTGAATACTCAAGAAAGAATTTGTCTTCTTAATAATCAAGTGTGTATATATGTACTTTGGATTTTGCAAATAGAGAATGTAGTCTCTTGTGCCCCTAGAATTTAGAGATAAGTTGCTTGCTTTGTCTGCTGTTGATCCCCAAGTTGTAAGTGCACAGTTTGAGAATTTTGGTAATTATGTTAAGCTGTGATACCAGCATCAGTGAATCAATAAGAGTTTCCTCACTCTGGATGTTTTCTTGAATTCCCCTGTATTGATGTTCTCTTTTCCCTTGCTCTTGGTAAGAACTGTGTTGTCAACTGAAGTTTTGCTTTTTCTAAAATTGAATATAAATGGAGGGATAGAGTGCACAGTTTTCTATGTTCTCTTCTTTCACCTCACAAAATATTTGAGATTCATCTATGTTGTTTGTCTTAATAGTTTGTTTTTGAAATTGCTAAATCATAATCATATTCCAAAGTAGGTCAATGTCACAGTTTATCTGTTCAATGGCTGTGGAACTTTCGGTAGCTGCCAGTATCTGGCTATTATTAACAATGCTGCTGGGACCACTCACGTCTCTGTTTTAACTCGGACATATGCTTTTGTTTCTTGGGGAAATGCCAAAGATTGGTTGCTTTGGGTCATGTGGTAAATATATGTCAAGCTTTATAAGAGTCTGCCATACAGTTTTCAAAGTGGCTGTGCCATTTTCATTCTCACCAGCATGCACAATGACCCCTATTTGTCTTGTAATGTTTGTTGTCCTAGAAACTATAGGATGGTTTCTCATGTGGTCTGTATTTGCATTTCTCATAAGTCTAGTGATGCTGAATTTCATTTCATGTGCTATTTGGCCATTCTTATATATATATATATATATATATATTTTGGTGAAATATCTGTTCAAATATTTTGCCCAATATTTATGTTGTTTTTATCTTCCTTTTATTAAATTGGAAGTGTTCTAAAATTAACATGAATATAGGCCCTTTTGTTTAAAATATGCCTTTCAGAGAGCAACTCTATCTAATCTTAAAGCAGTCTGTGTTACCAATTTGTTTTTCTTTCATAGTTTATGCTTATGTACTGTTTGAGAAGTCTTGACCCAACCACATGTCACAAAGATTTTCTCTTTTTTTTTTTAAGACATCTAACAATTTTACCTCTTATATATAGGTTTCTGATCCCCTTTGAGGTAAATTTTGCATAGGACATAAGGAAAGGGTTGAAGTCTATTGTACCCCCTTATTTGATATCTAATTGTTCCAGCACCATTTATAGAAAAAAAATCTTGTCTCTATTTAATTATCTTGGGAATTTTGTAGACTGTAAATTAATGATTGTAGTCAGTTCTCCATTTTTTTTTGCCCAGAATATGTATTAGATGTATTTTTATTACTTCTCATCTGCTTTTTCAACATTTAGGAGGAGTGTCTCTACACTTGAGATGGGGTGATTGGTCTTACATTGTCCAGTCCACCTGGGTTAGTGAAAGCCCAAGGTAGAAGAAGACTTGTGGGCTCTAATTTCCTCCAGAGGATGAGTGTGGTGGTCATGCTAAATACTTGTGGCTCCTGGCCCAATAGTTGCTGTTGGGATGAACTGGCTGCCTGAGTTGAGATTGTATCTATAAATAATAACATTTTAAATCAGTAAAGATTTTTTAAAAAAAGATTTATTTAATTTGTGCATACAGAACTGGGGGACAGGCCAGAGGTGCAGGGACGGTGAGAGGATTCACTAGAGACAGAGTGGGGAGCAAAACAGGCAGATCAATGAAGTACACTGTTGAGGGGAGCAGCGGGTGGGTCAGCAGAGGTCTGCCACGCCATGTGGATCTCCTCTGGGGTGGGGATTGAACTCATGCTGAGGTGGCTTTCGCTTCTCAGTGCTGTGCTTTAATCCGCTGCGCCACCAAGAAAGGCCCAAATCAGTAAAGATTTTATGAACACCTGCTATGTGTTGGCCATCATTCTAAGTCATATCTACTTATTTAATTCTCACAAAACCCTAGTGGGTAGGTACTATAATAGTCATGTCTATTTACCAAATGAGGAGGTTCAGGCACAGACGCCATAAGTATACCTGTAATTGTGCCTCAGTGAGTTGTAGAGATGGAGCTGGTCACAAGCTCTGTGGCTGCAGAACCTCTGCCTTTAACTAGTGCCTCTAGGCCCCCAGGGAAATCATGTGGGATATCTTTGTCTATCCTAATCCTTTGTAGTACCATTGTTTGACAGTGCCTTACGCAACATTTAAAAAAATTCAAGAGTGTCCATTATCTGTGTCATTAGTTTTTTCTTATCTGTCAGTTGGTGATCAGGGTGTTCTGTATGGTGTGCGTAGGGAGTCAGGGCAGGCGAGTCGCACTGGGAGCCCATGAGCTGGTGGGACCCATCATTGCTGAGTGTCTTTTACCAAATCGGAGAGTTACCTGCCCTTAAGGGAACATCGTATTTCTTGAGTTCGGTGTCCTTGTAATAAAAACAAAAGAAAAGGTCAGTTCCTTAGCTTCCAGTGCCATTATACTAAAAATAACAGACTGTTTTTAACAGTTTAACAAACTATTTTAAACTTATTCGCCCTCAAGCAGTCAGAGGCACTTCTGTGGGGAAAGCAAGTCACTCCTCAAGGAATATAGAAGGTACAAGCTTTTTAACTGGAGGGTTGTCTATTGCTTTTCCTTAGATGATGTAGAAATATTCCATTAATCACAGAAGAGTCCATGGATGTAATCCAATGTCAACTGAACCATCATGCTATTTGGGGGATGTTATCAGTTCTGTTTGTGTTGCCGATTAATAGGTTTGTGAAAGGATGCTATTGTATTTTGGGCTTTATTTAAGTAGATGAGAAAGTAAACTCACTAGAAACTAAATATGAATCTTATTCCCACTGAATTTGAAATACTTGGAATATTTTAACTGCTCTCCTAGTCTTGAAAATCAATGCTTATATTGCATATTGTATTTCAATCTGATGTAAATGAAATGGAATGATCTATTATGATCTTGTAGCCAACTGATTATAAGATTAGGTGAGTTCAAATAACTTTGCCAAGTAATTTTTCACTAAGGAAAATTGGTCTAAAATGTAGTACTTCTTTTATGCAAGCTATTTAAATACCTGAGGTTCTTACTGAATTAGCAAATTTCACTTACTACTAAATACTGATCCCATGTGTGTATACATAACATACATACATACACACATACACACATACACATACATACTGGTATCGGGGAAGGGAATGGTTTGGTCCAAATGATTAAGAAATATGTAGTTATACTGTTTCAGATCAAAGTTAGGTATGGTAACATTGCCTGTGACCGCCTTTTGGCATTCAATAAATTATATTAAAAATTTCCAAACACTTGAGGAAAATTGCACTGTAGTCAGAATTATCATGCATTTGAATTCTATTTCTCAATACTAAATCATAGGCCATGTGACCAGATAACCCTCTCAGAAAGGGTTATGATATTTTCCAAGCAGACCACATATGTCCTATTAAATTATGAAGGTAATTTAGCAAAATTCAGGAAAAATCCTTTAAACTTAAATAGTAATTTTATGCCTATTAATGTTTTGATTACTTTTATCTTTTCACTGTTCTTATTCACATGTACCATGTTATTGGAGTAAGATTCTTTACTTCAGTCAACTTACATTGTTGAGTCTAAAAATTACATTATTCCTTTTTGCCAGGAGGATATGAACCATAGAATTTATCCAATCAATATTTTTTAGTAGGTTAACCTGTTCTCAGATTGCAAAACTCTATAGCTTGGAAAATAAATTTATCGTATTTACTATGTAACACCTTCAAACAAGGAATACCTTGAAAGTACATTTTTTCTATCAAGTAACTTTTTTTTTTTAAAGATTTTTTTAGTTATGCATACAGAACTGGGGTACAGGCCCAGGGGTGGTAAGAGGATTCACCAGTGACAGAGTGGGGAGCAGAACAGGCCGACTGACAAAGTACACTGCTGAGGGGAGCAGCGGGCGGGTTAGGAGAGGTCTGCCGCGCCGTGTGGGTCACCTCCAGGGCAGGCGGGGATCGAACTCATGCTGAAGCAGCTTTAGATTCTCAGTGCTGTGCTTTAACCCGCTGCGCCACCAGGGAGGGCCAAAAACATCACTCATTTTTGTGACTCACTGATCATTTGGGGACATAGCACAAACATTTTCTTCTCAAACCTTAAATATCCTTTTGCATTAACTTCTAGAATTTTTAACTGGTCAGGAACTCATTTTTTTCTGGCTCTTTTTTCTCTCTTAACCCCACTTTTCTGTTGGTCTGCCATAGTACTCCCACTCATTCTCACTACATTATGCCGAGTGGTTCAGCTCCACCAGGTCCACTTCCAAAACTTAGCATAAAATCAAATTCACTAAGGGACAAGAGAGTCCTCTGCTAACAACTTGGAGGACTGCGGGAACCCGAGTCCTTGAAACTTCACGGTGTCATACTTACAACCCCTTAGTCCCTTCTCACCCTTTCCTTCTTAAGCTCCTTTCATTATACTGTCACTGGCCACATTTCATCTTCACTTGTGGCTAAATAACACTCTGCTGGGTGGATATAACATATCATTTCAACCCAGTTCCCTTCCAGTGGGCAAAATTTAAATTGTTTCCATGTCCCAGCTATTATAAATAGTGTGGTGGTAAACATAGGAGTTTTTCCAATTGACAGTTTTACATTCTTTGGGTGGATTCCCTGGAGTGGTTTTGCTGGATTGTGTAGTATTTTCATTTTTAGCTTCTTAAGGTAAATCCAGATTGTGTCCCATAATGGCAGTGCGAGTTTACATTCCTACCAGTTCTGTAATAGGGTTTCTCTTTCTATGTGTTGTCTCTGGCACTAGTTGCAGGGGGTCTTTCCAGTACATGCCATTCCTGTGGGTGTGAGATGATATCTCATTGTGGTTTTAACCTGAATCTCTTAATTGGAAGCAATGATCATCATTCCATGTATCTGTTTGCCTTCTGGATATTTTCTTTGATGAATTGTCTGTTTAGATCTACTGCCTAATTTTTTTAAAAAAGACTTATTTATGCATACAAGAACTGGGGTACAGGCCAGAGTGTGTGTGTGTGTGTGTGGGGGTAAAGGATTCACCAGAGACAGAGTGAGGAGCAGAGCAGACAGACTGACTGACATACACAGCTGAGGGGAGCAGTGGGCGAGACAGGAGAGGTCTTTTCCACTATGTGGATCACCTCCCTGGCCAGGGCTTTATAGTACTGTCTTTAATCCCTGCACCACTAGGAAGGCCCCTACTGCCTACTTTTTACTTGAGTTCAGTTTTATGTTTTTGAGGCCAGGATAATGTTTTATGTTTTCTGTGTTTTTCTTGGCTCCAAGAAGATGGTGAAGCCCCAGAAAATTACATTGATACTTTGCTAATTATTTTACTATAAATTAAAAAAAAAATCTGAATCCTTGATTCTCTGTCATGATTATAGTATTTGTGAAGTGTTACTGAGATGCATTTGGGTAAACTCTGAAGGGCAAATCATCTTCCTGGTCCAAGGAATTAATAAAAGTGGGTTAAAGGGAGGGTCCTAAGTATGTATGTATAGGGGTACGTTAAATTCTAGAGATGGTGGTTAACAGTGGTAAAGAAAGTTTGCAAAATAACCACAAGTGACCTTTTCTTGGGAAGGAAATGTTTGAATACCTGGTCAAATAATGGACATTTATGAAAGAAAAACAAGGGGCCAAAAGGATATGTCTTAGAAAGAGACTTTTGAGAAAATGACAGAATGGAAAGATCGAGTTCTTTTTCTTTAATATTTGATTATATTCACTTTAGGATCAAGAGTTAGGGCCGTTTTGCATCTAAGTTGGAAAATATTCTGAAGTGTAACAAAGTACTCTATTAATACTGAACCTAACATCGTAGGCGCCAAGCTTCTTTATGTTCAATACTAAGACTTAGATCCCTCCCTCCCAAGCTTTCTCTTACAATATTGTGATAATAAAGATCTTAGAGAAGGACACTATCAACATTATAGTTATACCATAGAGGACCTTATAGTTATATATCATCACTAAACCTTGCTCTTTTATATACTTTAATACACACACATAACACTCACTATGTACCAGAAACTGTTCTTAATATTTTACTTCTAGTAACACATTTAATTCTTCTAATTGCTATAAGTAGACATTTCACAACTGGAGAAAATAAATACAGCACTCACTTCAGTCTATGCACATGGCAGGTAAAAGAGCAAAAATTTGACTCTAGGTAGTCTTGTTCCAGAGACCAGGCTCCTAACCACTCCATTAAACTGCTTTACACTATGCTGTATGGCCGCTCTGTAATTAGTTTTCCATTAACTCAGGATTTGTGGTTTTTGTGATAATTGTTGGAGATAATAAAAAATGGAAGAGCTGTCTTTGAGGGAATCATTTGTAGTAGCTACACTTCAGGAACACCTGTGGACATGGGAATAACACACATATACAAATGCATTTTCTGCCAAGTGTTCTTGTGTGCAGGCGCAATATGAATTCTGTGCACAAATGGTAACTCTTTTCTCTGTGGTTGAAAACATAATACCAACAACTGTAATTTTCCTTTCTAAAGTGAGGATAAAACAATTGGGATATATTATTACTTTTTGCATAATGATTCACCTATTTGCTTTAATTTTGATGACTTGAATTTTGCAGAAATTTCGCAGTGCTTCAGTGGGGGCTGAGGAATTCATGTATGACCAGACATCAAGGTAGGTTACCAGGAGATACCCCAAATAACTGATGAACTAATCATCCTCTGGCTGTACCCCTAAGTTATACTATCAACATTAAACCTTGTTCTTTTATTGAACAATCTGTTTTTCTCTTCATTTTTTTCTCTGTACAAGTGATTTCGAAAGGGTTCTTTCTTATGAATTCTATACCTTTCTTTACCCACCTGTCGATTAGACATTCTGTCTTAGACTCACATTCATGCATCTCCCACCAGTCATACGTGTTATCGGACTCTTGTTGCTGTCTCTTCCTCTTTTTTGCTCCTTTTCTACTCCTTTCGCATCTGGTCTGCTTTTATTTCCTACTGTGGCTAATGATGTAGCCATCCGCCCAGTCACCCACGCTAGAGCTATAATGGTTTGCCTGCCTTCCAGCTTCTCTTTGACAACAATTGCCAAATGCTGAATATTATATTCTACCTGTCTTGTTCCTTCCAACTTACTCTTGCTCATATCCCCTTGAATGCTTGCAATTTGACTGATTTCAACCAACACTTTTCCCCCTGCTGTTGCACTTGGCACATACATATTTAATTACCAGCGATTCCACACTACAGTGACTTTCATCTATGACCACTGTGTTAGACATGAGGGATAAGATATAGACTGTAATGACAAAGGGTCCATAAGACTTTGGAGGAGACAATTGTGGTGATGGACGAATTGCAATGCCTGTGCTCAGTGATGAGTCCTGCTACAGAGATACATAAACGGAAGACCGAGAGGACCTGTGGGGTGGGGGTTAGAGTGGGAGTGGGATGGGGCAGGGAGAGCAGACTTTCAGAGGAAGTAGCATCTAAGCTGGATCTTGAAGGATTAACGGCTGGAATTTTTAGGGAAAGAGGAGGATTAAGAACATTCTTGGTGGAAGGGCTAAATATTCAAAGACCTGGGTCATGGTCATGCTTGAAGGAAGGAGACTGATAAATAACTTTCCCTTCCACTTACCAGTGATTTCACCATTGGATACAAATTCCAAATGAAGCAGGTCGGGACCCTGTAAGGGCCGGTCCATCCTTACTTTACTGCTTTCCCTCTTCTTTCTTGCCCCTTTGCTTTTATATGTGTGGTCATCTTCCTGTATTTCCTATTAAGACCTTCTAAGCTCTCAGAATTTTCCTCCCTTTCCACCTTCCCTAAATCCAAGTAGTTGGAATTTGACTCTGTGCTGGGGGTTGGGGGTGTGAGTCTGAGAGATAGAGGTTTGAGGGTGTGGGTCTGAGAGATAGAATTCCACCTTCTAAACTTCGGAAATACATGTGTAGCTTTTCATGTGTCTATGTAGTCAGTATCAGGTCAGTGAAAAGAGTGCTGGTTCCCAGTTACTTGACCTGACTTTTCTTTCTGCTGCCCTCATCGTCTAGTAAAGTGAGCAAGTTTCTCAACCTCTTGTATGCTGTAAAATAAGGAAGGTGACTCGTTTATGGATCGGCTGGGGGGGAGGTGGTCATGACCCTCCTGAAATTATATTCAAAGTCACATGTGTTCATGTGTGTCTTTTACTGGGCAGAGGGTTCACAGTTTCTTCATGTGTCTTAGGAGATTTTCAAGCTACTGGATAAACCAGGGATTCGTCTAGACTGTCCAGATCTAACATTTCACGATTCAGTGATGATATTGAAATTACACTTTTCCAGGCAAAATCACAATGAAATTGGTTCTGTCTTGAATGATTTATTTCCTACTTTGTTCTCTGACACATATTCTGAAATTTGCTTAGTTTGTCAGCTTATACTTTAATCATACAAGAGGAATACTATTTTTGTTCTTCAGTTTTTTTCTCACTAAATTTTTTTTGAGAAAATTAAATATTGCATAAATATCTAACATAAACAGCAAAAGTCTCCTTAGTCTTGACGATAGGTCATTTGAAGGGACAAACTTTGAGGGTCACTTATGTACCCGACTGTCAAGAGTATATAATTAATGAGCTAAAAAGTAGACCATGGAAGAGATTCTGATGATTTAAAAAAAAGTGTATGATCACTGTGTGCTGTCCTGCAGCATAGAAGAAATACATATTTCTGTATGAACTTGTTCAACAAAAAAGATTGGTTTATATCTATTGCTCATTGTAATCAAGTGCTTTATTGAAAGTTGGAGAATTCAGTGTTTTTTTTTGTACATTAAATCATATTGTAAAAACACCAGAAGAATTATTTAAAAAAGGAACCTACAAACGTTTCCTGTAATGAGCTAAGCAGTCTCTGACAGCGCTGTTTCAGTGTGAAAGCAATAGATAAACTGTATGCAAAAGAGCATAGTTGTGTTCTAATAAAACTTTATTTACAACAATAGGTGGCAAGCTGAAGGTGACCCATGGGCGGCGGTATTCAAATGCTCCATTTAAGCAGCAATCCTGCCATGAGTTCTTCCACATACTTAAAAAATGAAACAAAAAATGCACTCCCTGTTATGGAACTAGTCTCAGGAATGAATGCTTGAACCTTGAGTTGTTATATTTCAAAATATTTTAAAATGGGGTAGAGCTTTTTTCCCCCAACAGCTTAGATGAAAGGGTAAGCATATACATATATAAATATATGAATTAAGCAAGAACATTTATACCTTTGGCTGGTTGCTAAAATAAAATTGCCAATTCTACCATTCTTTTAGATTTTTATATTTAATATTAGCTAAGTAGTTTTAATTCCTGCTGTTATTGTATTATTACTTTTGTTTTCTTTCTTTTTTTTTTTTACACCCCTTGAGATGTAGGTCAGCACACTGCTCTCTGTCAAGGCATCCATTATTTTCCACCATGGAGAGACAAAATTATCAGTTCTTAATCTAAAAGAATGATAGAATTTGCACTTTTATTTTAACAACCAGCCAAATGTACCAGTGCCGTGGAGCGGGCTTGCTAGTGGGCCAGGCACATCATGGACTTTCTCCCTCCTAAACCATCTGGTTTATAGGCCACTGTTAGAAATGTTCTCTACATTATATCAGCGATGACCTTTGGTCTGGTCTCATCTCTTTTTGCTCTATGGTGTGTTTTGTCTCTGAAATAGAGTAAATATTGGTTAATATTCATACAAAATGCTATTGGTGTGCTATTGATCAGGAAATGTCCACACAAATGAATCTGACCACCGTCTGTTTTCTGTTCACAGTGGCACCTTTCAGTACACCCTGGAAGCCACCAAATCTCTCCGTCAGAAGCAGGGGGAGGGCCCCATGACCTACCTCAACAAGGGCCAGTTCTATGCCATAACGCTCAGCGAGACTGGAGACAACAAGTGCTTCCGACACCCCATCAGCAAAGTCAGGGTACGGGCCGGCCTCATTCCTCAGACAAAGCACAGAGAGATCAGGTGGATGGACTGGCTACCTCACAGCCTGTGGAAGCCATGGAAAAAATTACCAAATAAATAACTGTAGAATAAATGTCAGGGAATTGGGGCAAGAGAACGTATTGACTTGTAGGTTATCATTTTAATCAGTAACCAATAAACCCCTGGGAAGGGACATGGTTGGAACATACTTTCAGGCTGTATCCAGGGAATCTTCCTGGCTTCGTTCATTGCTGCCTAGCTATTGTTTTCATTGTGTTCAATCAATGGGTCTTAATTTTTCAAGTAAGTAGCTGTAAGTCAGAAAATATTTGTGGGTGGGAAAGAGCTGTTGCTCTCTTCTGTAAAGTTTTGCAATTCAGTTCGTGTTCCTGGGTCTTTTGCAACCTGGTTTGAAAGTCTCTGCAACCCAGGGCTTGCTTAAGAGTCAAGGGGTGAGGCCTGATTGGATCTCTATGAGGGACTTGGAGGGATTTTCACATTCATGAGTATTAGTCCTATTTGTGGGAAACGAAACTATCCTGGAAGTCTGCCAGCTTCTGGCATTCTTACTACTGCCAAAAAGGGAGGGAACTCTAATCCCTCTGTACTGAAAGGGAAAATTATAGCAGAGCTCTGAGTAGAAAGGTTGAAGAACTTTCCTAGCCGGTTGTAAAATGATTTATGCTGCTGAATTCATGGTCTCTGCCACACCTTATTTTATCCAAGGCTGCCCCATCCTTTGAGCCTTACAGACTAAGAATGGAGCACCATGCTGTGCCTACTGCATACTACAACCCAGGCTCACCCTCACACAGATTGCCAGGCAAGGATAAGAAACCAGGTGAAAGAGAATAAAGCACCTGCTGGCTGGTTTGACTATTATTAGCCTTAGGTAAAAATCATGGAGTGGTGATGTCTGAATAGACTGGGTTTTCTGGTTTTGTTTTAATAACAAAGAGAGAGAAGGATTGTGCTCATTTCTCTGTCCAGAAAATCTTACCTCCGAGGCTGTCCCAATCCCAGCCCCAGGTAAGAACTATAGGAGGCAGAGCAGTTGGGAATGAGAAGCATGAAGCAAACCTCCCACCCAAGACTGAACCAATTGCAGGTTGAAAGGTGTCTGGGGGGCTTTGTGCTTGCTGGGGGGCACATGTGGTCCAGCCTTGAGGATGAGGCCTTGGTGGTGGGATGCAGCCAACATCAAAACAATAAGCGTCACAAAATCACACCAAATATTACTGAGTGTCTTGTATGCTCCAGGTGCTGTGTTAAACACCATCCATCTAGTAACTCATTTGATATGAACAATAACCCTATGAAATAGATATTACTGTTTTTATAGTATTACAGGTGAGTCACTGGGCTAGGAACTAACTAGGTTGGTACAATTAAATTGTGAGGGGATCCTGACAGACAAGTCCTAAACCTGTTTTCTTGACAACCAAGATTACTATGTTGAATAGCATGGAGATCTGAAAGGTAGGGGGATTTTAGCCTGGGGTCCCCTTCTGGAGACATACCCTAGAATTTACACCTAACACCTTTGTGAATGCTAAGTAAGAAGACAATTGGTACATCTATTTTTTTTTAAAAAATCCTGTAAATTACAAATCAGTGTATAAGTTATGTATACACCATATCATCACTCTGAAAAGAGGGCGCATGGTTACTATTCTAAAGTCATGAAGAGTTGTTCCCCCCCCGCCCACCTCCAAGGCAAGTTATTTTATTTTGATCAGAAAAAAAAGCAGTAATATGCAATTGAAAAAGTTATTTCCTAAATAAGATTATCACATACCATAGAAGCAACAGATCTTTCTCTGCACTTGAAAATGAAACTGTTGGTTACAGAAACCAATCAGTACAGGGTTCCAACTTCATTCAGACTAAATAAAGTGCTGAAGCCAGTGTTGGTAAAGCAGAGGACAGCAATGCGCTGTGTAAAACCGGCCATCTGGTTCTTGTTTATGGAAACAGATTGGAGTGCAGGGGTTCTTCAAGAATTTTGCTTCATTCAAATCATGGAAATAATTCAACATGGAAGTTTTCTTTCCTTCTGACCCTTCATGGAGCAGGTTTCCCTCCCTTCCCAGCTCCAGGAGGGCAAACTCTTGGGAGGGGGGTCAGCTCCTTCCGCCAGCACTGACCTGAGACCCATGTTTCATTCCTTGTGGAAGGACTCAGGCTTGTTGATGGTAGTTTCAAACTGCCCTTCTCTTCATCACTGAAGAGACAAATTTTCATACTAAGAATATGCCTTTACTTATACTAATTTAGTCATTTGCTAGAAAAGAAAATAATACCTGGTTATTTGGGGATAGACAGAAATAAACACCAGGTGTCACCTAGTAAATGTTCATATAAAAATGGAAAAATTGGAACAAGTGGAAAGGAGAAGAATGAAGTGTTGGTTGAGGGCACAGTGTCCCAACCTGGCCTGTGATCCCCTCTCACCACTTCTCTGTGCTTTTGAAGGTCATGATGTGCATAAATTTGGGCAACACAGACACATAGGTCTAAACTAGTTTTTCAAAAGAACATCTACTTTCTCGTGCAACACGTGTTCGTGTATATATTGGGAATCAGCAGATTTTGAGTTGACGGTATACCTGTCCGAGCAGGTACCTGACACAGTATTTGTCAGGCACCGGTGCCACTGTGGTGAGTGACTGTCCTTGTCCTCATTCATTTAGAAGTCAGTGGGCAGACATTGCCATTTACTGTATAATAATAAACAAATATATGACTGCAATTGATAAAATGCTATAAAGGAGAAGTTATTGAGCACTGGAGACCAATGAGCACTCTGTTCCAGGTAATATAAGGGATTTGTGGGATTTGCTTGTTTATTTGTCTTTTGGTAACTTGTTCATCTTGTAAATGACAGCAGATTAACAGAATTTGTTCAGCGAGCTGTCGATTCAGAACTAGCAGGAGTTTTGGATTCTTTTACAAGACATCATTTCTCAAGCTCATTTTAAAAGTACACCCACCTATTTAAATAAATACTGCAGTTGATCTTGACTATTTTGGTCTATGAAATATCTGTAACTTAGATCTATGTTCATCAATATGAACTCATCTTTTTAGTATTTCTCCCATTACTTCAGTATACCAGCCTGAGGCACTTAGTTCAGCCACCAATAGATCCTTGCTCCTTCACAAATGGTGCCTATGTTCAAGGATACGAAATTTCTAAAAATCTCATTTTCCATAGCAGAAAAAATACTTTTTGGTATTCCCACTCACCTCACAAAATAATGTACTTGCTGATAATTATTTAATCTTGATATGACTCATGGGGAAAATGATACAGGATTTTTTTCCTTCTGTGTGCTGTTTCATTTCCCAACCATGTTTTAAGTCAGTCCATTTTTAAACAAAACAAACCATCCAACTGAGCTTGTCTGGGCTTTTCTAAAACATGAAAAGCAACATTGCAGAAGTACCCCTTTGGTACGACTCCCAAAACTAGTGTCTGTGGAAGCCACAGCAGCACTGGACAGAAAGTAAAAGCTGTGTTTGTCCCCTCTGCAGAGTGTGGTGATGGTGGTTTTCAGTGAAGACAAAAACCGTGACGAACAGCTGAAATACTGGAAGTATTGGCACTCACGGCAGCACACAGCGAAGCAGAGAGTCCTCGACATTGGTGAGTTGACCTCCACCCCAGCCTGGCCTTTGATAAGTGGACAAGTGGGTGTGACCACGGAAAGCCCAACACAGATATCACAGCTGCGACCCACAGGCCCTTGCCAGGTGCCAGGCAAAGGTTTCTGCACCTTTCCTGCATCAGTACGTTTAGGCCCCAGCAGCAGGAGAAATTGAGACCAGGCTAAAGTGAGTGCTGAGTCTTGCTCTGTGAAAGTCAGCTGTGTCTCAGTTACTGTGTCAGCAGCTGAGAGTTAAAAATACTACTGTTATGCTATGTGTTTCATAGCATAATAGTGGTACGTTTAGATTTTTTCCTCCTAAAGCCTGTTTCCGTGTCCTCCTATGTTGCAACCTAGTAGGCAGGCACTTGATCCCCCCATGACACATAACTTCGGGCTTTTTTGACACCAACATGATGACCACTGAATGAGTTCTAGACCTCTGATTCTTTGGCCCGTGTTCCTTCAGCTCCAGCACACCCTTAGAACAAGTTGTAGGAAGTTGTCAGACATATCAAACATTTGAGAGGCCTTCCCGGACAGGGAGGAAGGAGTAAATCTGCCAAGTCCATTTTCAATAAGTGGTCTGTCCCCTAGAGATCTGCAGCCTCTGACTGGACTCGGGGGAGAGTTGGGATAGCAGCTGCTACGCCAGGGGGTTCCATGGAAGGAATCTGTTGCAGAGGTTGCAAGGGACGAAGGCGCCATGAGGCAGTGCAGACATGAGCAACAGCAGGAGTCTGCAGCTCTTAACTGTAGGGCTGGAGGATCAAAGGGAGGAGGTGTGGGTGTCAGGGGAGCCACCCAGTAGGAGCTGGGACCACAGAGGGAGCCGCTTTGCAATGGGAGGTAGAACCACAGGGGAACGTCTGCCAGAGAAACCTCGATGCCAAAATGGGGGAGGAGAGTCCCCGGTTTCTTCCTGCCTCCCTTTCTCCTGCCAGTACTTCCCATTGGCCAGATTTGCCTGGAAGTCATAGGGCATGAGACCCTCGAAAATGCAATTTTCATGAATCAAGGTCTGAAACACAAAGCAAAGCAGGAGGAGTTAGGCATAGATCTTAAAATTTCTAGAAGTTTCTTAAAAAAATGTAGACAAAAATATGTGTTCCTAAGTGATTTTAAACTTAATGTGTGCGCTTTTCATCTAAAAATATATATTTCAAATATAGATACTTGATATAGATAGCAAAGATGGCGTTTATCCCTTCCTTTTCAGCCTTGACCGATGCAGAGAGGTTGATGACTAGGCTAGGGTGAGAGACTCACCATAAAACATATCGACACCGGCCCTCCGTGGTGGCGCAGCGGGTTAGAGCACAGCACTAAGGATCTAAAGCCACTTCGGCATGAGTTTGATCCCCACCCTGGGAGGTGACCCACATGGCGCTGCAGACCTCTCCTGACCCTCCCGCTGCTCCCCTCAGCAGTGTACTTGTCAGTCGGCCTGTTCTGCTCCCCACTCTGTCTCTGGTGAATCCTCTCACCACCCTCCGTTTCTGGCCTGTACCCCAGTTCTGTATGCACAAATAAATCTTAAAAAAAAAAATATCGACACTAACTACTGGGTCACCCGACAAAATGGTGGTGGACTATGCTGTATCGACACCACCCCCATTACCACTACCACACAGGCCTTCTGCTATACAGTCAAATATATTTATCTAGTTAACAAGAAAACTGAGTCCTAGAGAGGGTCACTGAACTATCGTCCCAAGTGATTTGTTGTTCTTGGGTAATTTTAGGTAAGAGCTGAAATAAGAAATATCTTCTTCACCCAGGTGTACACTGAACCTTCAAGACAGACTGACGAGGAGAGGGGTTGGGGAGACTGCCTTAACCTGCTTTGTGGCCAATCTGCATAGAGAAAAGGAACAATTTAATTTTATTTGAAAAGTTAACCTTATAATTATTACCCAAGAAAATCAGAGGAGCAATTAAATGGAAATATGGACTAAGTCCAAATCACAAATAACAAAAGCATTTTACTGGCATACCTGTTGGTTAAACTTTGACATTAACAAGGTTTACTTTTTTTAGACCAGAATGACTTCTCAGATCTCCCAGGACTTTAAAATCTTGCCGCTGTGCCTATTTTCAGACTTTTCTCTCTCCTATATTTCTATATAGTTCATACATGTGCACAGATATGTTTTATCTTTGAGATCTGATTACCAACTAGCTTTATGGGTACTGGGCTAGCTGCTTTGAACCTTGAACCAACACATTAAATGTACCCCTTATCTTTGAATGAAAAACTGGTTTTCTCAGCACAATCTTTACCCCTAACTCAACCTGATAGGGTGAGAATATCTTCCAAAATCTCATGTTTCGTTATTCTACTAGGTTAAAAAACCAAACCATGTTTTCCTTTGCCAGTGGGGTGTCAACGCCATTTCAGAATCAAGGGGAGCCGAGTCTGCAATGGGGGAGCCATGTGTGTGTGAGCCCCGTCACTGAGAGAGCTGTGAGCTACACCTTGACTCAAAAGGAGGTTTGCAATACCTGCTGAGGACAGAGAGCTCATGTGCTGTATATTCGCCAGCTTGGGCTGAGAACTCTCCAGCATAGCCTAAAAAGGAAAATGCAAAATTATTTAATATATTATTGTTTCTTAACCTCCATGAAACTGGAGGTTAAAGTTAAGAAGGCTCAACGTTACAGTTATTAAGTCTTCCCTCAGCATGTTCCACTGAGCTGTCCTGGAAGCTAAGTGAGGAACCAGGGAAAGGCCACTTTTGCTAAACAGGTTGTTTACATTAGGGGATGTTAAAGGTTTAACAAGTCTGTGGGTTGGCTCAAGAGACCCTCAAACTCCTCAAATCAGGCACAACTCTTTTGTTGTGTTGGTATATGCACACTTCCATCTCTGTCCAGGAGTTCCCGGGATTACCACCCCTGCTCCCGAACTCTGCTCTCTGCCCCGCTCCAAGCAAATCAATGGTGTTTTCACCTCTGACTGTGCCTTGTCTTTTCCAGGGTCCCCTCACCATTCTTTGAGGGTTACCCTGAAAACTGTATCCTATAATCATGTGCTTAGTGATAATGCTGTCTTCCTTAGATAAATTTATCTCCCTTGGACTAGATTCTTCATTGTTCTTTGAGGCTGCTTCTCAACCCCTGAGCCTGTTCCTTTGAGCAGCCCCTCCGTGTGATGAAGGAAGTCCTAAGTAAATGGGATTGTGAGAAGGATTGGGTAGTTGGGAAAAGTCTTGCTTTGGAAGGAGACTCTTGGGGTGCCAGGGAAGTGAAGCATAGATGGAACTTGCTGGTCTCAAGCTCAAAAAGGAGCTGAAGCTTGGAAACTGGAAGTTGTGTAGGGCCCAACTGTCAAAGGTCTGTTGATTCTTGACTTATGTCTTGGTGACAAACCTTAGAGCCGCAGAGATTGGGAAATACTGTCTTGGTTCCTCTGCAGAGATTCACCATGGGGCTCTGTTGTTGAGAAAGATCACTGCTCCATATGTTGGGAAAATTGAGCTCAGAGTTTCTCAACCTCTGCTGCTTTGACACGGTGCTGTCTTGATGACGTAAAGTCTTGTTTTGCAGCTTCATTAGGGAGATACTGAATTATGTGTGTTTATGCTTTTTTTTATATTGAGGTATAATATGCATACTTTGTTTTTAGCTAATCCATGGTTTTCTATTGTTGAATGGAGTGGATTTAGAGATCCAGAAATGTATAAAGAAGGATAATCAAAGGTATACTGACATATTGCTATTCTTCTGAGGTCTGTTCTGTTCATTCATCAGTCTTCCCAAAACTCTGATAAGAACAGATAGAAGGAAATGTGCAGGACTAACAGGCAAATAGAACAAATTGGTAGTCTCTTAAGTAGTTGCAGCACTTGCTTCAGGGACTTTGCACAGTCATTGAGGATTTTTAGCAGGCCTGGAATGGGATGACATCTGTGTTTTAGAGAATTAATTCTGGGAGGTTGGGAGACCAGTTATTGCTATGAAAGAAGAATTTTTGGAAGAGTGAATTGCCAAAGGGAAACACAAAGTTAACCCAAGAACAAGAGACTGACAGACATTCCATGAGGTTATCGGAATAAAGAAGAAGAAAAGGATTCCAGAAGGCAAAAATAGTGTTATAACCGGGTAGATGCCCAGTTCTAAGGAAGTGGGGTCGGGACTTACACAGTGATTATCCAGTTTTGCAATTTGTGGGCCCTTTAAAAATTATTTGAAGTGAATGAGAAAATGAACTGGTCAATGTATCAATTCTATTCAAATAGTAGAGAACTGAAATCATTTTCAGGGGAAAGCACACTTTTCCGTTTGTTCCCTTTCAAACAGAGAAGGAAAAATTACCAGAGATTTATTTAATAACTGATATTAACTGCAGAACGAAAGCTAGAAGTTACAACATTAAATTATAGCACATTCACATATAGTTTCCCTCTACTGAACAGAATTAAAAATGACTTCACTACTTTTCACTGTTCCAAAATAATGAGCATTGCAGTTTTGCATTTTTCCAGTTGGGTGGTGGATTGTCCTGTAACGAGACTGCTTCCACAGCATGTTCACAGAAACACCAGTGCTTTCAGTCACATCCAATATAAGCTTCAGGGAGATGACGTCCATGATTCCTTCAGCAGCTTAGTTGAAACTGAGGAAGAGCAGACGACCCTGGTAAAATGATTGAGCACCTAATTGTGAACCGAACATTTGCTCTTTATTTAATTTCCATCTTTAATTTTGAGTCACTGTACTCTTTCCTTGTGTCATGATGTATTCGTTTTATTGTTAAAATTAATCCTGTAGTTTTCCATGGTAATTAGGCAGTTATTTTGCAGGCAATTATTGTACATCTCTGGTTACTAGCATGTGATTATAGGAGCTGCACTTGGGTCCTTATACAGATCTAGTTTGTAAGAGCCAATTTCTAAGTTATACTGTATTGTTAGAAGTTTCTATATGAAGGGAAAGCTTCCCATGCAAATGTAAGTTCCAACTCATTCAAGACATTCTCCAAGAGCAGTTTTTTTTT